TAATTATATCTTTATAGATCTAAGTATTAATTTATAAATATAATATATATCTTTTCTTTTTCTATTGGTTCTTTTGTTATTTTATTCTTCGCGCAAATGGCATATTTTTCATTTCTAGAATTCAAATTCATAAATAATATTTATATATAATATTTATATAAATATCTAATAATTTTATTACATATCTAATAACTATGTATTAAAGTATTCTTTATATATTTCTTGCAATTTTTTCAACAAAATATATTTAAGATTTTATTACTTATTTTGCTATTTTAGACAGTGGATAAGAAATCTAGAATACCAGAAAGCGAAATTTTAACCACTGGAACTGATGAAGAAGCCTCGTCCGTACCTGAACGAGTTTCTGTACAAAAAAATTTACGTTTCTTTGGGGACACCGATCAGGAATCAGTTTCATCTAATAGAGATCGCAGGTATGTATTTTTTTTTCTATTATATTTAGAGAATATCAAAATAGTAATAATTAAAGATTTTAGAAATTATTAAGAAAATTAATATTTAAAAAAAAATTTTAAATTAGAAAACTATTAGCTCTAATCCATTTCTGGAGCTATGGAGTAATAAATTAATTATTACGAAATCCGCTGTTATCAAGTTCGATTCACTATATCAAAGGCAAAGTACATATGCCAATAACGTTCCATTGTTACTAAAGTTCGAAGATCAAAGAATTCTAATTCTTATTGCTATGATAGTTTTTACAGTTCTGATGTTCTTGTAGTTCTGATGTTTATTCTGATATAGATCTTCTTTTTTCCGATTTTATAATTCCCTTCTTGAAATTCTCGCAAGCTTTTAAGTTCTCTCCCAGATTAGTATTCTCTGAAACCCTCGCTATGTGAGCTTGCAGATCTTCAGTGGAAGTATCCAATAACGCTGAGAATCAATCCGTTGATTGAGCAGCATCCCGGACCATAGAAAACTCCCTAAAATGAGTCCGAACACTATGCCACTACAAATTCGTTATTTTCCAAAAAAGCTGTTCTGCACGTGTTAACATTTTCCGTCAGATTGAATGATACTAATTGCTATTGAGAATGGCATGATTATGAAAGTCATCTCAGATAACAAAATTATGTTAACACTCCAGCTATGAATTGTTTCTAAATATGCAAAACAAATGGTTAATAATATGTTTCTCTTAAAAATGGCATTGTTCTTGCAGCATTATCCTAAGCCATTTGTGCATGTCTGCACATCATTTGTTTAATGTCTGAACAAAAACTGTAATAAAATATTAATTATTCTTTTTCAATTTATATTTTATAGAAACAAACGAGATGATCATGCCTGTTCAGGACGTGATGTTATGAATTCCAACCGTTACAATTTGGGTATTCTATCAACATCTCGGAAACCATCGAGACTTACTGAAAGTGCGTTGTCTTCTGGTGAAAGTACAACAGGAGATAGCAGTCAACAAAGTCAGAATTCTCAGAGATCACAGAGATCTGTTGTATATCTTCATGCTGCTACAGGTAATTAACAACTTTCACATGTTATGATAAATTTAATGTATTTATAAATTAAATTATAAATTTATGTATATGTATTATGTATATATGTAGTAATATATATAACACTATATATATGTAATATATGTAATATATATACATGATGATATATTTGATGCATCGATTGTCCAAAGCAATTGATTAATCGGTTTTATATTTTATTATAATTTTTTATGAATTCAATTAAATATTATATCTTCAAAATTATTGAGTTAAATAAATAAATTCGCTAATATCGCTAAATAAATTTAACGATAAATTTTTTCTCGGCGGTCGATAATAATTTTGATAAATTATTTTTGATCTGAATATCGAATCATTTTGAACAATCATTGAATAAACATAGTAATTGTATTATGCTTAAATTTACTTGAGATATTATTAGTCAATATACTATTGAAATGTTTCAAATCCATCACAATAAGAAAATATATTTTTAACATTCATTCTTTATTATTATTATCATTTTAATATTATTATAATATTATTATTATATTATTATTATTATCAGTTATCTGTCTCCATTGATTTACATTAATAAAGAATAAAAGCATACTTATACATATTGCCGCAGTCATGTAGCAGAAATTCTATGCAATAGTAACAATCTGTTTTTGCAAGTATCTTGAAAACTAAAGTCAATTATAAGGACAATTATAATATGAAAAAGTTATTCAAAATATTTCTATAATATATAATATATTCAAAAATTAATCAAAATAGTGAGGAAATTTTTTTTTTTAAATAATTATTCTTTAAATGGATGCATAAGGAATAGACAAACATATGTTTTTTTTTATTATGTTTTTTCATCATATAATTTTTTAATGCATTAATTAATATTCTATCAACATCTCGGAAACCATCGAGACTTATTGAAAGTGCGTTATCTTCCGATCAGCTTATTATTTCCTATAAAAAAATTATTAAATGATTATATCGAAAAATCATTAATTTACATAGAAAATTTAGAAATTTATAAATTTGATATATGAAAGAAAAGAAGAGCATAATATATATCGTTTTATTTTCTATTTTTCTCTATTTTCGTATTATTAATGTAATAAGCTATTAATTACATTAATAATAAATTTTAGTTTTAATTTTAATTTTAGTTTTTAGTTTTTAATTGTAATAATATTTCTTAAATTTGTTAAAATTATAATTTTTCGACATAAAAAGAAATTTAATACATTTTAGAATGAAAATGAATTGCATTATTAATTATATTCCATTTAAAGATTAAAATTAAAATCTTCATATGATTTATAAATGTTTATTTACAGAAAAATTAAATATTACGTGATCAATCATTTCATATCAAATAACTTTTATAGGAAAAATTGTATAAAAAGAAAGTTAATAATAAAGTTATAAAAATTAACTTTAAATAATTAAAAATTAGATGTTTAATTTCTTTTTATTTATTATATTTTGTTTCTTATATAATCAATATTTATTGTCATTTTTATATTTTATTAAAAAAACATTAATTTTTTTGAAATAATTTTTAAAAATCTCTTCATTAATGTTTAAATAATTTTTTCATAAAATTAATACAATCTTAAAATATATTTGAAAAATAGATTTCAGAGATCAAAACAAAATTGATGTGCAAACCTAAAACTTATTTATTATGTTTTGTAGATTTAACAATTCATATCTCATAAATATTATAAATATTTACATCTCATAAATATTAACATCCTATATATTAAAAATATATTAATATCCTATCTATTAAAAATATAAAAATAATTTTATTTAATTAAATATAAAAACTATTCTAATTAATTAATTATTTATTTGAATAAATACATTCATTGCTTAATTATATTTTATTTAGTGGGTGAAATACCTGGTCCTAATGAGAGACGTAGAGCAGCAAGCAGAGAAGAATTAAATCGACCACTTCAATCGCACACGAGAACAGTATCAAGAAGTGTCAGCGTTCTTGCACCTTGGAAACCTAGACATTATAGAGAATCTTTCGAAATAAATTATGATCAACAATTGCATCCAAAATCGTTAATGACAATGAGACGTAGACAAAAAAGTCGTGAAACATTAAATCGTCGGGGAAAAGATATACGACGAAGCAAAGATAATCTCTCAAAAATTGGTAAAAATTAAGCATATAAATATAATATGAAATATGGATAAAAAGTTACAAAAAATTAGAAAAACTAGAAAATTAAAATATAAATTATTTTTAATATTCATATATTAATGTATAATTTTAATAAATATAAAATAATTTTTATTAAAATAAAAACAAATTTCTTTTTTTTAATAAATTTTTATAAAAAATATAAAGAAATAGAAAATACAAATACATTTTATTTGTGAAAGACATTTTTATAAAATCTCTATATACAATTGAAATAAAATAAAATACAATTGAAATAATAAAAAAATTAAAGGATAATAATTTTAGAGAAATAAACAAAATAAACATAAAAATTAATATGTAAAAATGCTCGTTGAAATTTATTTTTTAATTATTTTAATTTAATTAAATAAATTAATTTTGCATTAGATGAATTTTACATAAAATGATTTTATTTTGATTTTATTACATCTAATATAAAATTAAATTATTAATTTAATAAATAAATAAATTTTCATTACATATTCAAATAGAAAATTGAAAAAAAAAACTTTACAATTTTCTTTATAATCCGATTGCAATTTTTCCAAAATTATTTAACATGTTATGTAATAAGTATTTTTAAAAATATTTTTAAAATTATTTTTCAAATAATTTAAATCATTTATTTTAATTTTAAAAAAGTTATTATGTTTTAAAAAATGTATCAATATTTTTGAAGTTATGATATATTTTCTAAACATCTTGATAGTTTACGAATTAAACAGATTTTTTTATTTATTTTATCTTCTAATGAAAAATTATAATAATGAATTAATATCTAATATTTTATTACAGGTACGATCAATCGTAGTACTCTAAAATCAAAAGACAAGCAAAAAGTGGATAGAACTGTTTCCACGGAATCGTTGGCCATCAAATCACGGAACTCAAAACCAGAACTGAATAGATCTACATCGGTTCCACGTGACCCGAATAAGAGTGCTGGCTGGTTCAAGTTGAAAAGCAAAAAATTCCGAACTTGAAGGGAAGGCCATTGATCAATGCTAGTCTTGAATTTTATAAGTAATTTTTAATCATAAGGGATTAACAATAATATGATCAATTTATTATCAAATCATGGAGAATATAATTGAACAAGTTATTATTTTATTTACTCTTTTTTCTAATGTGATTTTCTAATGAAATCATCTCAGTGCATGAAAATCTTTTTATAAATAAATAATTCTTATTAACTGAAAAAAGATATTTACAATTTTTTATTATTTTAATATATAATTATTATAAACAATTAATAATATAAATTTAATTATAATATTAAATCATGAATCGCATTGTGTTTATTACAAATTGTATTTTTTATAAACGAATTATGAAGCCAAATGCGAATTTAAATAAAATGCGAAATTATTTAAATATATATGACATACATTATTAAAAATATTATCTTTTAGTTGTTTTATTGATTACTAAACTATTCTTTTAATATATGAGAAATAAATGAATTTAAAATGGTAATTTTAAGAAGAAGGTTAGTGAAAAACAACAACTAAAAGATATAAACATAAAATATTTTTATTTCATTTTTGAAGACCTAGTTTTCTTCTACAATGGAGCCTTCTCTCTACCAAATTTAACAAATTAAATTTATTGTGTAAGATGAGAATGCATGTGAAAAAAATATTATGTTATTTCTTTTTCTAACAAAAAACATTTAATAAAAACATATTATATAATAAATAATTAATTTAATTTACAACTTTTCTACATAATAAAGACATATTATAAATATATTCATAATAAATTATGAATATAAAGTGTGTGGTTTCTAAAAACGGAAGAAATTAATTTCACCGTGAATCAGAGTGCCATTTCCGTTTTTTTAAGCATGTGTATACATTATTTCGAATGAAATCAAAATTTTTAACATGCAAAGTATATTATATAAATAATTTTATAAGACAATGGAATAACAATATATAAAAAAAAATTTGTTAATATTACAACAATCATTATGATTATGTTGTACAAGAATACTTATATTAATTACATGTATAATTTCTAAATGTTTATAAATATTATAATTAATAATATAAATTGTGCATAAGTTAATCAATCTTATGTTAATTGTAAATATTTGTAATAATAATCATTATTTCTAACTATATTTTTTTATATTTGCTTTATTATGTTTCCACTTAATATTTTTCATTGACTATCAATTATTAAACTATGTAATTTCTTCAATTAATTTTAAATATCTATTGTCAACATTGTAAAAAATTCAAAAAAAATTATAAAATTTTATTTGTTTTATTTTGTTAGGCAATTATTTTATATATCTTATTATATATATTAATGATATATATTTGATAATTTTTCCAAATTTTTAATTCTTATTGATGCTGTTTGTTTTTTTTTGTATATATGAGAAAATATAATTCATATATAAATATCACATATGTTGACAGTGTATTGTTTCATATCATTTCATAATTTTATATATATTATTTATTAATATAATTGTTTAGTCTTCCATAAATATATGAAAAAAAAAGTTAAATGCCGAAGAAATGAAATCTCAGAATGAATTATATTTTGTAACACAATTATTAGTTCTAAATAAATAAATATAATACCAAATATTTTTACTACTCAAAAAATATTACTTATAAATATATATTTGATAATTATAATCTGCTAAATAATTAATAATTAAAAAATTATTATTATTTTTCATTTAAGTAATTATAATTTACTAATATATATATATATTCATTTCAGTATTATAATTAAATTATTATATATATATGTATAATATAAATTTTAATTTATATACTCTTGAATTTCAAAATGAAAAATTCCTCAAAAAATTTTAATTATTACAATGAGGAACAAAAGTTTTCATACACTATTTTATAAAGAAATTTTTATTCAAAAGTTTTGTATAAATTTTAATGAAAGTTTATATATATATAAAAGACAATTTTATATGAAACAATTATTTTCTTAATCTCCTTAAAAGGAAATTAATTTTCAAAATTTTATTGTTTCATATTTTAAATAAAATTTTATTTTGAAATTGTTTTAAAATAGGAATAGAGACATTAAATTCTGAATATTTTGTAATTTAAAATTTTATTCTACTTTATACCATTGCATAGTTCTTTAAAAAATGAAAAAAATGAAAAAACTTAAGTATTAATTTCATTTCCTTCAAATGATATTCCATTAAAAAAAAATTGCTCCATAATTTATAACCTATATATTCACGAATATTTATTAAAATTATAATTTTTGAATTAAATAAAGTTCTTCGTAAAATATATGAAAATTTTTATTTCCTACTACATTATGATATTCTAAAATGAAATGCTAAATAAAATTAGAATTGTTCAATATTATATATTTTATCCCAACAGCAAAGGATTGTTCCAATCAAAATTAATATCATTCCAATGTATGTATCTGAAAATTAAAATAAAATTTTATATGAATACTAATATAAATTACAAATAGCATATCAAATTACATACTAACTTTTATGTATTTTTTCTTCGCCCAAAATTAAACCAGTTATTGCAGTTACCATAAAAGTAAGTGAATTAGTGACTGGAATTGCCAATGATATATCTGTTTTACTCAAAGTTAAAAAATATAATATAGAACCACTTTGGTTAATAATAAATGGTACCAAATACTAATAATAAAAATAATTAATAAGATCAAAGTAATTTATATACTTAAAATATAACAAAAATCACTATTATATTAACAAACCTTTAAATTTGTAATAAGAAAAGCAAATTCTTCAAAAAATTGACCAAATTTAGAAGATGATTTCACATTTTCTAAACCTTTAGCTCCTTTCTTAATAAATGGGTTTGTATATTATACCCCATATAAATGGCACAATAAGAAATATGATGGAATCTGTAAAATAAAAATAAATTTTTAGAAAAATAAATTTAATTATCCTTCTATATCCTTAATTTATAAAGAATTTATAAATAATTTATAAATAAAATTAATTTAATTTTAATTTTTTACTTAAAGATATTAACATTTTGGTTAAATTTTACTTTGATGCTAAATATATTTAAAAAGTTATTAAATATTTAATATTTTTATTTAACTCTAAAAGGAAATAATAAATTATGGAGAAATTATAAAAAAAGTAAAACAAACAAAATTACAATTTATACAAAATCTAATATAAAACCACATTATTAAAATTTAATATAAATAAAAGAATTAAATAAAAATTTTGAAGTTTATTATAATTTTCTATGTGAAAAATATATACAATATAAAATAACTGAACTAATTTTTTAAAAATATAATATAGGTATGTATGTAATTATTTTTATGAAAAAGAAGGAGATAAGATTAAGCTTAGTTTCTATACTATACGATATGAATTGGCATCGATATATTATCGAATAGTATCGAAAAGTTTAACGCGGAATTTTTAAACCAGTTATACGAATATAAAGATAAAACATTCTCTGCGGATGATCGTAAACAGAAAGAAAATCGAAATCCAAAAGACTTTTCATTTCGATTATAAATTTCTAAAATTATTTATGTCAAATCGAATAATTAGATAGGTTATGATTGAATAATTAGATAACGTGAGATCAAGGATGATTCTCGTTTGGAAATTTATTGGAAGAGAATTGAATTATATTTAGTAATAATAAGATTTGAGTTATTAAAAATTATTTTTTGTTAATATATTCTTATTTTATTTTTCATTATATTTAATATTTTTTTTTATTTTATTTATTTTATTTATTACTGTTTTAATAATAAGATTAATATAGAATTCACATGTGCCAATTCTGATCAATTTTCTAAGTAGTAAGTAAATAATGTAAATGACAAAAGAAAATTAAAATTTAATGTATAAAAAGTTCTCTATTGAAGATTTCGAACTTAAGTATCATAATAAAATAAAAATTTAATAAATTATATAGTTAATAGTCTTTAACATAAAAAATTTATTTACACGATAAAGCAGATAGGTAAAATTACCGATAAAATTAAGAATAAAATTAGAAATAAAATAAGGAATTATATAGGAATATATTTTCTATTTAAAAGATTATTTAGAAGATTTTAAGCTAAATGAGTGCTCATTCAAAAAAAAAAAATTTAATCTATAATTATTATATATATGTGTATATATTATAATCATATCTCATTTAATGAGATTTTCTTGATATTTAGTAATATAAAAAATAAAAATAATAAAAAGTGAAGTAAAAATTGTTAACACGAAATCTAAGCATTTTTATATTTCTAAAATAATATTTTGAATGAAATATCAGAACACTAAATAATTTTAACTGCAAAATAAAATTTTATTTTATTATAATTTCATAAAAAATAAAATCGAAAAATATATTTTTATGTCAACAATTATCGCATTGCTTTTTACCATATTATCGATAACACAGGAAAATGTGACAAGTTAGTTGGGTTTATGTGCATAAGATTGCACATAATTGCACTTAATGAGAAAAACTGTTTGATATGAAATGAAAACAAAAGACAAAAGCAATATAAGTTAAACATGCATTTTTTAGTTTCAGAATTTAGAAACACAGAAATACAGTTAATCACAAAACTATTCGGAAATTAATGTATGCTTAACTTTAATGATTTATATCTTATTATAGAAAAAATGAATTAAAAATTTTTCATTTGATAGAATATTTATTGCACTTTATAAATGCAACTTATTTAATTAACTTGATATAATAAAACTAAAAAATGAAAAATAAAAAACAATTTATTATTATTAAAAAATAAAATATAAAATTAAAAAATAAAATAAAAAAATTATTTTTCGTATTACAAAATTATTTGAACACTTGAAAAATTTATAAAATAATTAAAATAGCAACTTTTTAAAAAATTAAGTATTACTTTTAATATTTTTTGATTTTATAACATATTTTAATCAGTTTAAGTTATTAAAAATTATTTTTTGTTAATATATCCTTATTTTATTTTTCATTATATTTAATATTTTTTTTATTTTTATTACTGTTTTAAACGAATTTATTGTTTTTTTTTAGTATATATTATTGTTTTTTATGCATTTCATAGTTTAATTGCTTGCATGAGGATATTTATATAACTATATAATATTTGTTAATTCAATTTATAACTTACATTTGCAATATAAATATTTATACAAAAATAAAAATGCAATTTTTTCGGTTTTTTAATGTTCAAACAATAAATCAGCAGGTAATATTGTAAAAATTATGTATGATTTTATTTTATAATAAAATATATAGGATGTTTATAAGAATATGATATATCTTTAGGGAATAATATATTGATATTATATACATTTATATAAACATATATGTCTGATACGATTTAATTAATAAATAATAAATATTTTTAATTTATTTTATATATTATTTATTATATTATAAAATAAAATAGCAAGAACATAGCTAGGCGCACCTTATTGCATCTGTTATAATATTGCAATTATATTATATATA